ATAATAGTTAAGTATAATTAGTTAAGTTCAATTTATTGTTAAATTTTGAAAGTTGTAAAAATGTAAATCTGGTTTGTTTTTTTCAATAAAGTTATGGGTCTTTGATCCTCGGTGATTTGGAAGAGCACGGGTCCTTTGACAGTGGTGATGCCTAGGATAGAGGGAAGATGCCTAGCTGAAAGGCTTTCGAGCCAGGGCAGCACAGGGCAAAGGCATTATTCATGTTCTCTTTAGACTGCAAATAATGATAAAGCGACTGTTTTGTAACCATTTGAGCCTTCCACTTTCCAGTTATTGTAGGGAGAGCCTATACACCACATCATAGTCACATATTCCTTGAGGAAGTTTGTACTGGGCAGAAGTCAATGAAGAACCTTCCGTATTTTAAAAGTTTTATAACGAAATATTGTATTGTACGAAGGTGTGAGGGTGGTCTGGAAAGTATCCGACCTAACAAAGATGCAAGACATTTTTTCTTTTTCAACATAGTATCCTTTTCACTCTACACACTTCTCCCATGATGCTCCCATTTCAAATAGTACTCATCACTTATCTCTGCAAAATAATTGTTCACCAAAGTGATTGCCTCTTCATTTGACAAAAATCTCTGTCCCCCGAGCGAATTTTCAAGATGAGGGAACAAAAAGAAGTCGCTTGGGGCTAGATCTAGCGAGCAAGGTAGATGGTCAAGATTCGTGGATTTTCGCCAAGGCATCCGCTGAGGTGTGAGGCGGTGCGTTGACTTGGTGGAACAGGATTTTCTTTTTCACCAAAGGGCCCGTTTTTTCGCCTTCAGATTGTCAAGTAATGATGAGTATTATGCTCCTGTGATGGTTTTTATTTTTTGAAGATAATCGAATAAAATAACTCTATGACTATCCCGAAAAACACAGGCCATCACTTTTCCGGCCGAAAAGTACTTTCTGCTTTTCCCCCTTTGCGGTTCCCCATTTGCAGTCCACTATTTGGACTGTATTTTTGTTTTGAGCATATAATGATATATCTAGTTTCATCTACAGTAATTAACCGGTGCCAAAATTTGAAATAACGCAATCAAGAAACATGGAGAGTCAAGAGCTGTTGCGCATAATATTTCCTAGGCCTTTGACCCTGTGTGGCCCTTCAGCTTCCTGAAAAAACGTTTCCTGCAAGTGGCGACGACCAGGGATCTATACTGTCCTCAACCCTCTTTTTATTTTATATCATCGACTTATTGGAAAAAACCAAGAGTCCAATATATTGCTTTGCCGACGACAGCACACTTGTCTCGTCATTACATTTGGATTCCAGGGTATCATCTGCGGATGCACATCTTCACCAGCAGCAGAAGGTTGCATATCTTAATGAAGATCTAGAAGTAATTTCGAATTGGGGTGAAAGTAACCAGGTTCCATTCAATGTTAGAAAAACCCAGACATCGGTTTTCTCTGAAAAGAAATATGTCTGTGAACCGGATATGATAATGTCATGTCAGATAATTCCCCTTTCTGCTTCGATAAGTTTGTTTTTGTTGAGGGTTTAAATGGACACGAAATTGTCTTGGCACAATCATCTCGCTGCAATTGCGAAGTATGGTTCTCAAAAGTTTGAAACACTGTCCTGAAACAGAATACTGTACATACCTCAGCAACTTGCGATGCTCTATAAAGCTCAGATCACACTTTCTTTGGAGTATTGTTCTCATGTATGGAGCTCCGTCCTCAAACATACTCTGAAGCTGCTAGATTCCATCAAGAAAAGAGCCATCCGCCTGATTGGAGAGATTTGTCTCTCTTCTATGAATACTTTCATAGGAAGTGTTCAAGTGACTTGGCACATTTGATTCCACCAAGAGCGATACATATCAGAAATACGCGACGGACTCTGACTGCCCATCGTTTTGAGGTTCAACTCAGTACACCTCGAACTTTATTGTTTAAGAACTCTTTCATTTAGAGAACTGCGTTTATAAATTCCCTGAGAACGTTTTTCCAAATGGATTTAATCTCCAGCGATTCAAATCCAATGTGAATCACAACTTTCGCATAGGCACCGCTCTAAGAGCGCCTCTACGATTTTCCTGTAGTGCTTGTGTTTTGTTCTTAAAAAAAATCATTGCGCCTAAACTGCGTCAAGAGAGCGTTGAAATTGTTTTAGGTCTAACGTGAGCAATCGCGGCACCCAATGCGCAGACAACTTTATCATGCCTAAATGTTGATTAAGTATGTAACAAACACGTTTTTTGACATGTTTATCGTCTACCAATTTCTTACAGTCACGTATTATTTCAGCTGCTCAAAATTTCTCTATGGTGAATGATGATTCAGAGATTCCATACATAATATCCAACTCTACGCATTACGCCTACGCAAATATTTGTTTGGTGAGTGGTCTTTAAGATCAAATGGTAAGAGTACATTGATTGGGACAAGGTATTGAAATACATTTCTGACCCTGAAATGAAATGAATTTTCAATGCACCAACAGCTCTCTGGTTGGAAGAATGGTGGATGCGGTTAGTAAGAGTACTGAAAAATATTCTCAGAAGAGCTCCTCACTCTTAAATGTGACTGTGAAGCTGCTATAAACAATATGCCGCTGACTTATACATCTGATGGTATGAATGATTTGAAACCTCTAACATATTTCATGTTTATCTGCGATATTGAGAAAAACACCAGAGGTGGATGGATTTGATAGAAATAATTTGTTAACAAGGCAAAAATATATTAAAGCATTACGAGATGGGCCAAAGATAAGGTTCAAGAAGTAATATCTATCCGAACTGGTCAGTTCTGGTTAACGAAGGCCTCGTGAATTGGTGTTCGATGACATAGTCCTGATTGAGAAGGAAAATAGCGAACGTTCAAACTGGAAATTGGGAAATGTTTCGGGGATTCATTCCGAAATAGACGGAATCACAAGAGTAGCCAAGGTAAAAATGAAAATTGGTGAGTTCGTATAACCCGTCTGAAGTTTATACTCAAACAGAAGTTGAGAATTCAGTTAAACTACAAGTCAATGAACACGATTCAAATAGGAATGAAAACCGCACAGATATTCAACCGAAGAGTGATGAAGTAGAAGATTAACTGGAGAATAGAGAGAGAGAGGGAGATGAAGTTAACGAGAATAAAAAACAAATGGTTACCCGAAGAGAATGTGTGGTGAAGAAACCAGAACGTTATGGATTTATTTAATGTTATAGGAAGATGATGTTGTGTTTAGAATGAGATATTTCATCAGAATGAACTCCCTGTAACTTATATATTTTATGTTTTATCTTCATTTGATGTTGTTATGTATTTTACAAAAAGCCATTTATTAAGGTTTCTCAAACTAAAAATGAAGGACAACACCTTCAAAAGTATTCCAAAACAACACTTTCCTATATCAATGAAGTCTATGACGAAAGCTAGGCTATTTTCTGATTATTTGTGATGTCTCTATCGTCATTCCTTTTGATGAAATTCATTTTTGTTTGTGAGATTGGGGGTTAAATTACATTACAGAAATTCAGACATAGACATTATTTGAATATTATTTTCCGTTTCTCACCTCATAATATGCAAGGTATCCATTTTCCCTGGTAGCCTCGCCCATACTCCCAGGCCCGTCAGCCGGTGATCCAATTTCGAAAGCATCTGGATTGAAGAGGGTATAGGATCTTCCATACGTAGGAATACCAACAACGAGTTTATTGGGCTGTGCTCCAAGTTTGAGATAGTGTTTGATGGTATGGTCCTGAAGGAGAAATTCATAGTAATTTGGCATATCGTACTCATTTCAAACAGTTTCGCACGTTGAATAATAAGGAAAATATAAAATAGATATATTGAAAATGATAAGAAACAAAGGATTCCTCCATTAACAAGTATACATTACATTTTTTCGTATCAACGCAATACATAATACTATATTTTAATGTTTATAATGCAGGAGATTGTTGTGTGCGTGATTTTTGTCACAATTTGAATGCTTTAATATCGCCTTTCATTTATTTATACATATACATATGCTAGTTTACAAAAATAAAGAAATAAAAATTAAATTGTAGATATTCTTAAATTTCATTACAGGTATAGATTACATGTGAAAAATTTGTTTTGTGTTACTTTCAAAGTGAGATAAAGACATACAAGAAATGTACATCTCCGGGGAGTAATTATTGAAACTATTCCTAAGCCTAGGAATAGGAGCGTTTTGATCCAAATTGGTATGTTGAAAGCTTATATTGAGAAATTGCCTATTTCTGGATGGTACATAGATAGTAGTAGTAGATATAGTAGTTCTGGAGCGTCATAGTAATTCGTAAGGATGTTAAACATTGAGACCAAGTCCGAAATAATTCTTCGTTTTTCTAATAGTAAAATATTGAATGTTAATCTAGCTGAATGTAAATATCAATGTTATAAACACCATGTACCCTGAAGTTTAAAAATCTGATGAATTTACTCTCTCAAGTCTAACCTTATAGAGGTTATATAGCCAGGACTCCGGATAACGCTGAAAAAACTCAATCTACTATATACATAAGCAAAATATGACGATTTTATAGCTTCTTGCTTGTTGAAAGTTTTGCAAATCCTTCTAATGAATCCTATCCTCCTATATCCTTAATATAGTTAACCTTACCAAATTTTTTCCAAGTAAATTGTAGTGAAATTCAATCATATACTGATTTTTTGTAAATGAGATAGTCGAGCATTTATTCAAGTCGAGGAACAATCTGTTACAGTTGCAATATTGAGCGAATCGATACAAGTCAGATTGGACGTTTAAGAAATTTGCTTTCGACTGTATTTTCGAAAATATCTCTCTGTCGTCAGCGTACAACAATATTTTGGAAAATTCTAAACATTTGTTCACATCATTTATAAAGATTAAAAATAATAAAGGGCCCAGTTGGGAGCCTTATGGTACTACCGACGTTACAGCGGTAGGTGTTGATTTGAAACAATTTATTGTCACAATCTGTGATCTATTGAAGACATAGTAGGAGAACTACCATATAAGATCACCATATACACCGATCTCAGCAAGTCTGGAGATGAGTAAATTATGATCTATTTTATCGAAGGTCTTGCTGAAATCTGTGTAAATAGTCTACTTGGGAGTTACGAGTTACATCGCTATTTGTCACCAACTAAAATACATATAATTGGATGATAAATAAACAATAACTCATTTACAAATTGAAGATATAAATGTGTGCGACAAAATTCTCAGAAAAATCTAAACAAGTGGAGTTACGAAATATAGGTAAAATTTAGGTAAATCCAGGTAGAATATAGGTAAAAATGTATTACAAAAAATCAATAAATTCAGTGGATGGGTACAAAATAAAAATATTGAAATAGTTACAGACAAGGTTTTGCTTGCCTATTAAACAATATTATATTGTGATTTATTATGAGATACTTACGATATTCAAATCCCCGTCGAAATTGTATTCGTTATCTTCTTCTAAAGGGAAAAGAGGGGCGTGATGATTGACTGCTGGTTCAAAAGCGGAGTGGTAATCATAACTCAATATATTCATCCAATCTAAATATCTGAAAGAAAACGTATTGGTAATATAATATGATGGGTATACAAATTTCCGTAGTTTTAATTTTTTTAACAATGCAATAAACCGAATATATGAAATTCCGACTTATACAGGGTGTTTATTAAATACGCGGCAAAAATTTAAGGGGCCATTCCTTGGACAATTCTAAAGATATTTTGTCCTTTGATGATTTTTGATAGGGCGCTTTGTTTGGACGATACGGAGCGAAAAAAATTTCGACAATAACAATTTATTATACCAAAAATTACATGTAATGTTTCTTAATCTACAAGAACTGTTGAAAATACCTATCCCCCCCCCCTCCACTCGGGATGCAAGAATCCAAACTTCTCCTCATCGACTCCCGAACTCTTTCAAAAACCCCAGGATCGTTTCCGATTGCGTTACACCCAACAAATTGAATGTAGTAATCGTAGGTAGTAATCGGAATGTTGTTGATAGGTAGCAAAGGAATTGTTGGATTTTTTATTACTTGGTAGGTCCAGTGTATTACGCAATACCTACTTTTATTTCCGCTACGTTGATAATTTCAAAATTACCAAAATTGTTATTGTCGAAATTTTTTCGCCCCGTATCTTCAAAACAAAGACCCCTATCAAAAATCATCAAAGAACAAAATATCCTCAAAATAGTCCAAGGAACAGTTTCCTGATTTTTTGCCGAATATTCAATGAACTCCCTGTACAAGAAATACTCTTCCCAAGTATCAATCAGTCTTAATGATGAAACAGTTTCGACCCTCTTCCTGTTGACAGATTGATGTTATATTTGGTACACAAATTTAGTTTTGATGACAATTCAATTCAATAAATTCTGTATCATTGTGAATCCAAGATGACCGCAGCTACAAAATGGAGCAGCATCATTCAATAGCAACTCCGCTATAATTGAGATTTTTTTCTCTTATTATTTATGAGGTCCACAACTTAAATAAATATTTCATGAAATATTTCATTTTGGTGAAATCCAAAAAGGGATGGTGAAACATTTTATTGTTCTAATTCTGTTGAAAAATCTTTAAACTTTGATGGGCTCCGGAAATAAAATCATTTCATCAGCAGACAAGGAACATCTACAACAATCTAAAAAACTACTAAAAGATGTCAAGGGATCCGATGATCGATGATGTAATACTAGTATTGGTTCTATATTTTCTGCCATATAAGGACCATGCCATTGATTTTTGTTTCATTTGAAACGAATGAGTATATCATATATCAAAGGCATACCCAGAGAGTGGCAGGGTGAGGACACCGCTAAAAGAAATATTTCTTTTTTTGATATCAGCTTATCATAGATGTTACAAAATCGATCCACAAAGATTATATGACATGTAAGGTTTCAAAAACATCCAATTGCAAACTAAGTATAGGCTATACGAAGTCAATTCGAATGGCATAAAAACCAAATAGTTACTAAACGTCGGGCAGTTTTTTTGTATGGCATGGGCGGCGTGGTTTATTTTTTTTTTTCAAAATTATTTCAATTTTTAATAAACCTACACGAATTTTTTTTAGTAATCAGGAGTATTGCCCAAAAAACAGTTAGCTGTTCGGATTAACGTTGTATAGATCATAACAATAATTCGCCAGTTTCACATGTTCATTAATGAATAATTACTCACTTAGTAAGTTTTGGCACATCGAATCCTTTATTGATATATTCTATTCCTGCTGGAACTGCCATAGTTAAAAGTAGCCGTGGCCGTCCAGTTTTCTCAAATTCTCTTTCAAATTCCTCTCTCAGCTCCTGCATGAAAAACAAAATATTGTAATATATCACTACCTACCATATGAAGTATCATTATTTAGATTATCAGCTAATTTATTATTATTCAACAGAACAACCACCGCTGTCAACTCATTGAACATATTTTTAAAGGTTTTACCTTCTTAACTAATATCATTTTAGTCTGATCATAGATATTTTTGTGGTCTTCTATGTATCCAAAGAAATTTTCTGCTGTACAACATTTGCACTACTGAATCATTTGAGGAGAGAAGTAATATGCCGCTGCTCTTCTAAATATTTTTACTTCAAGTAAAAATCACTTTTGAAATCCTCATTTCTTTCTGAACAAATCTAGTCACTTGATTTTTGATCATTTGACAATATATATCAAAAAACTTCATCAAGTTTTTAAGAGAGTAATTTGCAAACAATAAAATAATGATATTGGAGTGATATAGATACATTTTGAAATGAACACACATAGGTGGGCTGAAAATGTTCATCTCCTGCAATAATGTTTGCAGCTACTATTACTCTCAGTTACCTATTGGTGTGGTATCAACCAATGTTTTGAGGTAGCCCCACAGAAAATGATACGAACTATTGAGATCTGGGAATCTAGTTGGCCAGACCTCCATAACCTAACCAACGATTATTGCAATTTTGGTGTAGGAGTAAATATTCTCACGTCGTGATTTAAATCACAGTTACACCCCTAATAAAATAAAAATCAAGCTAACAGAACATAACCTAAATTTAAAAATACTTATTTGAATCAGGGATTTCGATTTTGGTTATTTGAATGTTAATAATTTTAAGTGTTCTCCTATAGGATGATAATTAGCAACACTAAGTGCTAGGTACAGAAATGTATCTTTCCGCTCATAGAAATCTTACAATTGCCTCCAATAATTCGTATCCCATTGTTCTTCTCAAAATTTTGTGCATCATTAGGGTCAAGGAATCGAAACTTATTGAATTACATATGCTTGCCAATATATTAACAAGAAAGTTTTCTATAAAGTTTTTAAATGATATAAGATCTGATTAATAAAATTCTCTCCTGTGTTTGTCTTCATTCGAGGACCGCCTACCGGATACTGATGATGCCCAACAGGCTGAAACAGCTGTCTACCGGCAGCTCTTAAATCATATTGTAGAAGATAGAAGTATCACTCATCTATTCATCTATGATTCTGATCATTCTCATATTGATTTCGAAAAAAATCATCTTACTATGATGAACAAATTCATGTTAATGTACGAGACGTCAAGTACGAATTAGATTCAATTTTAATTTTAAAAAATTAAAATTTCTGATTAGTGTAAAAGTTATATTTCAAAGTTTATTGTCGGCAGTTCCATTGCGACTAGCGGTCGGTGTATAGCACTTGGATGAAAACTATTGAGCCGGTAAGTGTATTTTCAATATTCCCATCAGTATTCGATAATTACGGAAGTTACGGGAGAAAAAAGGTGTACCTGTAGTAATTTCGGGGGGTTCTGATCACGAATCTGAAGGAATTTTTAGCCTATTTTGCCACATAGTATGATTTACCGTAATAATGGGTTCTTCCATCGCGAATGGCTGGCAGTGTATATCACTTAGGCTAACACCATTTAGCCGGTAACTGTTTCTTCAGAATTTTCATCAATCCTGTGAGTTTCATCATTTTACCATGATAATTACGGAAGTTACAGGGGTGCTTCCATATACAGGAAAAACCAAAAAATCCCAAATTATTTTTTTGCCTATATCTTTTTTATTCGCAGACATATTGAAAATCTGTCCACATTTTGCTAGTGGCATTTGATGTGGGCTATCAGAATATGTCCATGAATCTTTTATATAGGGTGTCATCTGACTTGGGCCACCACCATCTTTGAATTTTTGAATACGGACCTGTATTTTTTGTTGTAGTTTTTGAATCGTATACGTTCACTTCATACTGAGAAATCGAATTTTATTCTATATTTCGGGATTTTTTGGTAATATGTGATTACAATTGGGTGAATTATTCCCTTTCAAATTACGGCCCTGGAAATTGGTTGACTGAGTTAAATAAAAATACAATAGCAACTTTCACGTCTCTTTATGTACCGTATAGTTTTTAGAGAGTTTTTTTTTCATTTTTAGGTACCTATTCATATTTTTTCATATTTCCATTGCTCTAAGCGTTTTCTACATTGAACTTCAAATAAGCAAACTTTTTATGATTATCTGAAACATATCTATAACAAAAATATATTATGTGTTTTGATGAGCAGAAAAAGCAATAATAACATCCGAAACAGACACTATAATTTTAATGAAAATTGAAATGAAGTAATTTATATAAACAAAAAATTATTGGCGCATTAAATGTTCGAATTGGAGTCCTTCCATTTCGAGACAAATAATAGGCCAATAAGATGACCTGCAAGATCACCAGATCTTACTATTTTGGACTATTTTCTATGGGGGACAGTGAAAAATAGGATTTACGCTGGCAGAGAGATAGAAAATGTGAAAGACTCGAGATTGAGGATTTTGAATGATTTCGCAACAATGCATCAAATAAGTGTATTAATGTCAATAAATAATATGAAAAACCGAGTTCAAAAATGTCTCGAAATGGAAGAGCTCCAATTCGAACATTCATTGCGCCATTAATTTTTTTGTGTATATAAATTACTTCATTTCAATTTTCATTACAATTATAGTGTTTGTTTCGGATGTTATTATTGCTATCATTTTCTATTATCTAACAACAGTGAATCAATGCAAAAAAGTTGTTTGGAACTGGCTGTCTATCAAATGAAAAATAGGTATGTGGTCGAGGTAAATCCTTAACTTCAAGTTCTCAAACCGAATAGGATTCTTATTCTCTCTTGATCTAACCATGAACTAGTAAGGATAACTAAGTAGGTGATGCATAGAAATGGTTCATTTCAAGTCACATTCCAATCAGATCAGTCCACACTCATGTTGACGCACAAAAAATCTAAATAAACTATAGGGATGTGTTTTTAAATTCAAAAAATTTAAATCAGAAACACTGAAAGGTCACCAATGAAATTGTTCTGCCACTTGAGAATCTAATAAACTTTAGCTTCGACAAAAGTGTGTTTCCAAATATATTGGAGGTGAGCATTTTACAACCGTTATATAAAAGGAGATGAAATTATAATCTCATACTACCGACCTATATCTTTGCCATCAAATATTGCAAAAATTTTCGAAAATATAATCAAAATCAAACTTTTGAGCTATTCAAACAAACAATGAAAAGTTATCTCACGAATCGCATACTACAAGTAACAAGCAAAGACAATACTCAGAGCAGAACAAGGACAATCAAATATGGAGTTCATCAAGGAACTGTTCTTGGGCCAGTCCTATTCTTATTATATATGGACAATATTGTGGATATCGATATCTCTGGACGAATACTGAGCTTTGCGGAAGATATGATTATTTTTTTAGGATGACAATTTGAAATATTTGAAAATGCAAGTTGAAGTTGATATTCAAATTCGACCACAATCTTTGAATATCGTAACCACCTTCCTGATTTTTGTTTAATTATATGGTGGCAGTGTTAATACCAGAGGCAAATTCTATCAAGTATATAGTTATTTTGATCGATAGGAATTTCAGATGGGATGAACATATAGAAAAATTGAGTAATAAAATGAGAGGACAATTGCCACGATTTAAATTTCTGAAAAACCACGTGGATCAAAATCATATGATGACCATCTATTATGCCTTGATACAAAGTCAGTTAAACTAATACAATTCAAAAATAGATTCTTAGAATTATTTTTACCAAACATCCAACTTTTTCAAGTGAGAAGCTATAAGCTGGATGCAAAGCTATGGATATGAGATAGTTTTTTTTATATTTTCCCTACGTAAATGACTATTCAATAATGAATCTCACAGCCACTGATCATTCTTATCCAACCAGAAACAAACAAAGACAGCGAAAAAACAATTGGACAACGAACATTTACTTATCTGTGTCCTGGATTATACTAAATACTGCCATATGATAAAAACAAAATTTGCAACAATCTAACCCCCAAATTGAAAAATGGAATATATTAACACCAATATCATTCATTCATTAACTAATGGAGTCTACTAACAACTGTACAAAATGAACAAACACAGTCATCTTCCAATACCTCTATTTTGTTTTATTTCACAGTATCATTCATTTCCAATTAGCTATTGTTAACTTCAATTTGGAAACTCATCAAATGCCGAAACTTTTCAATAATTTTTCTGTATATGTACTTCAAACATAAAAGTGTACTCAACACATACAAGTGTGTTGCGATTCCTCACATCATACATCGGTGATCATTTGAATTCATCGACAAAAACAAAATATATTTTTTTGTTTTTCCTGCATATCTGTAAAAGCAATAACATCAGTTCGAATAAAACATTACTTTCTCTCTATTCAACTTTCTCTAAAATCCTTGTCGTTTTTTATATCCACTCGAAAATCACTTAACCGGTGTATAAGTGCGTCAGGAACGATTTTTATTTTATTTTATATAATGAAGCATCATGTGCATTACCTGTACTAAATTAGCGTAATTTTCTTTATCTCTAGGTTTTCCACCATCCCTGAATGCCGGATACTCCCAGTCTAGATCCAGGCCGTCAAAGTGATTCAGTCTTAAAAACTTTATAACATTCTTCACCAATTCCTTTCTCCTCTCGGGATTCGCCACCATTGAAGAAAACCTAGAGGATCCTTCATTCCACCCTCCTATGGCAATGAGCGTTTTCAAATTCTTGTTGTATGTTTTCAACCCCGTGAATTTGGCATATCCACCTAAAAAAACCCTCGTGATGGTCAGGAATAATAGTAACAAATGTATTTCATTAGTTCGGACTTCCATTGTCTAATATGATATAAAATGAACTTCCTGAAAGAATCAATAAAATTAAAATGATTGCTGAAAAGATAACAATTATATTATGCAAAAAACTGAAATTACAATGGAATAAAATACAAACAACAATTGAAAATTGAACAAATAACAATATATTAAAATTAAAAGATTTCAAGCCAAGTTACTACACGACTGTTAGTATCCACAATCGTATTTGGGGGATGACTGGACTTATTCTCCCTCTGGAGTAAAAACTTCGCCTCACAAAATAAATTTTGCGAGGAAAACTCAATACACCATTCCATTCACCCCTGCTCCTCAGGAGCGGTCCTCAGTCCTACTGATAAGTACTTCAGCAAGATTGACATCTGACCGTCTTGGGTATAAGTCAGCTTAGGTGCTATTACTTTCCGATCTGTTAAATTATTTTATCTTGACTTTCTTAACTGAATTTTTGCATGGGGTCCCCAAAAACTAACCGGAGACGAGTGTTGGTTCTCAGTGAGTCTAAAGAGAGATTAATTTGAACTGGTTGAGAAATTTTTATACTTACCGGAGCCGCCTGACAGCGACTCTCGGGGATAGTTTCTGGTTCTGCTTCGTTGGCCTCCTACCTTTATCCCTCTCTCGGAATCTGGGGTCATCCCTGTTCAATGCGTCGTGTAAGTCGCTTAGCGCTGGGTAGACGTGCGCTCGAGTTCAGTCGAACGTGTCCTCTGCGTGTTTCCTCATGTATGCGTCCATGGTCTTCCAACTCACGATCGGAAGACCTTGGGTTCAATTCCCGCCACGACCAGATATTTTTCTCGAGAGAATTTATCTGGTTGAAGCTGGGATGATTCTGCAACCGTGTTAGAAATCACACGTTAAAAGGTAAGACCTCGTTAGTCCTTAGCTCGCACAAGTTCTCAACTTTTGAGAGTTGTCGTTCGTATGGGGGGCGACAGCTGATTAACGGAAAAACAGATTTTAAACAGAAAAACAGATTTTTTAAACGTAGTGTATGTTCAGGTTTAGGTCTCTGAATATGTACGGCATGCGTTCATAAACGACTGAATCTGTCATCTGTATGTCGCTGCGCACTAACCCCAAGCAGTGCAGGCATACAGGATTATCGGCAGTATTACGGTCTTTATCATTAGCAGCTTTACTTTCAGTCCCATGTTGCTTCTTCGTCCTATTATTGGTAATAGGTTTTGTTGGACAGATCTCGCCATTCCTATTCTCTGCCGTACGTGAGATCTGAACGGTAATCTTCTGTCTAGGTTGACCCCCCAAGTATCTAGCTTCGTTGGTCCACGGAATCTCTTGTCCGTTAAGGATGCCGTTTCCTTCCGGGTGTGTCATCCTCCGGGTGAACAGTATTTCCTGACTCTTGTCAGGGTTTATACTGATCTTCCACAGGCTGGTACATTCCTCTAATCTATTTGCCTGTTGCTGCAAGTATCGATTGAACTTATTCTTTCGAGAGCTGACTATTTATAGGTGCTTCCAACTATCCCCTCTTCCTTCTCTCCGCTTCATCGGTTTTAGCGAGAGCTGACCGTTTGGCGAGAGTTGGCCGTTTTCCTCTTGCTTATAGGTTTCCTAAACCAGTGTTCCTCCTTGTGGATGATTTCAGTTTGAGACCACTTGATGTTATGTTGATGAGTCTAAACATGTTCTGCTATTCCTCATTTGCTGGTTTCTTGTACTCGGCAATGCGAGCACAATGGCTTCTTAGTTTCACCGATGTAGGATTGTCCGCACTCGCAGGATATCCGGTAAATGCAATTCTTGGAATCGCAGTCCGCGTTTGGTGGCCAGGGATTTCAAATCATTCTATATCAAATTAGACAATGGAAGTCCGAACTAATGAAAAGTAGCAAATAATATCACATGTTCAAATAAATTGGGTATTAAATTAAAGATTAAATTTTGAAATTATTGTACTAACCCTTTTCTATATCTTGGTACTTGTCAAATGGCTTGAGCGTGTTATCTTTGGTGAAGCCCCCAAAGGCATATACAAGATGTGTACACAAATAGGGGTTGATGTTTTGCGGACTAAATTTCGCAGCGCCAGGTCTGTATATTGACCAATTCGTGTAGTAGCAGACCACGCGCATCTCCTTTGAGCCTGGAAAAGTAAAATTTGCATCTAAGTGAGGAAGCTTGAAATACATTTTCTGTTTTGATTCTTTGAGTACTTTGTGATAGTATTATTGTTGTGCTTTCAGTTACTTGTAAAGAAAGGAGTTGTATACTCGTGTTCGGTGAAACGCGAAATGACTGTATATGACATGTTGATAGTAATTATTTTTTATATTTAGTGAACAACGGAAGTTTATAACATCCTAGCTATAGGATATATATTATTTTCATTACTATTAACATGTCATTGTGACCATTTATTCATTGATAACATGTGACATTTTTTTTCTCCATTATAAAATATTTTCTTCTCCATGTCAGTATTTTATACTTCATTGTATCAACTATTGTTATGTTGTTCTTCTTTCATTGTAGAATTTTTAAATAATGGTTATACCATTCCAACATCTGAGGGTGATAATAAATTGTGGAGACGACTTTGAGTGTTTATGCTTCGCAAATCTACACCACTTTGAGACATAATAGACTTCTACCACAGATATTGTAGCTGAGTATTTTTGAAATCTTCAAAATAATTCTGGCAATAAGAACCACAATACCTTAGTTACAATGTTGAATAAAAATATATGTTACCTCACAAGAGGTAACAGAACAGAACTCTCTCCGCGGCAAGTATCAGCACAAACTTCGACATATCTGTTCATTGAAACTGTCGGGAAAGAACAAAGTTGCTGCAACAAATATGCTTGTCGTTCCAATCTTACTCTATTCGTTTGGAGGAGCTATTCGGGAGGAGCTGTATCAACTCGACGTAAAGACCCAAAAAATTATGCATCTCTATAAATAGGAGTTTGCTTCTCAAATCGTCCGTTCCACGGTTTTACTTCCTCCGACAACAGGGAGGCCGTGGACTTTTGAGTTTGGAGTGTCTACATGACAGAATGGTATTGGATACAGCCTGTAAAGTCGCCAGGAAATCGGATCCCCTCCTCTGCATGGTCCGTGACCATGAGAGAGCAGCAAAAAGCTCAGATAAAAGCCGCAGAGATCACCTCATCACTTCACTTCTACGGCAACACAAGGATACGCCAATGCATGGGATATTCGTCAATAACATTGGAGGCCTCGGCTTATCAAAGCGCCTGACGTTCGCTTTTCTCAGGTCGAGTGGGCTGAAGTCGGAAACTGAGGGGTTCATCATGACTTGCCAGGATTGTGTCTTCAACACCGCAGTCGCGTGATGGATATAGAGGTTCCTGACATAAGGTGCAGGGCCTGCCGCGAGGCGCCCGAGACCCTAATGCACTCGCTATCAACATGTCCAGCATATGCAGTTTCGGCCTATATCCATCGACATAATGCGGCCCTAAGAGTGCTATATTACCATCTACGGCACTTTTACCGTATTGACGAGACACCGGTGTTGCCCTACGCTCCGGGGGATATTGAATCCGTTGTGGGGAACGAGAAGTGCTGAATTTATTGAAACTATTCGTTCCCCACCCTCAGGCTCATACAAGCTTATAAGCCTAATGTAGTTCTTCTCGACCAATAGAGCAAGAAGATATTAGTCATGGAGTTTTCAGCTCCTGGCGAAACGAATATCGTCAGAAAAGATGAGGATAAAAACGGATAAAATATCGAGATTTTCTCTTCGAACTCCGCAGACTCTATCCAGACCACTGTGTCAAGATAGTTGTTCCAATTATTGGAGTCCTTGGTGGAATGATGCCCTTTCTACTCTGGAATCTTAAAATCATACCGGCTTGCCGCACTGAGGCAGAAATCTAAGCCGCACAGATACAGAAGGCTGTCATTCTTGGCTCACTGCGCTTGCTCAGGACACATGATTCTCGGACGCAATGATCACTTACCCCACGGTGTGGAGAGTGGTCATTGGTTGATAATGCTGGCGCGCCCTCCCGAATGTATCGGGGCTACGGGGGATAGGGCCTGACCAGCACCACTACGGTGAAAATAAATCGTCTTTATTATTTCCACATTCAAAAGAATACAATGAATATTAGAAATCAAGGTTCATATATGGAAATAAAAGGCGAAGTCTATTTTCTGTTTCAGCAAAGCTGAATCATTTTGCGTAGGAAAAACATACTTCCCAAATCAGGTCATTTGTATGAGCTGTCCGTGTTTCTGAGTCAAGTTGAAATACTATCAAGGGCAGATTTTCAGATTGTTCAAAATTGAATATAACCCACTTTGTTGATGGTCAACTACAATCAGCCTCCGAAAATATAGCGGTAGGTAAAAACAGTGATGAAAAGGTAATTTTCATATGTAAACGCTCCACTTTTATCCCCAGTGGAGACGCCTCAGTTGGAATATTTAAAAATCCTTACTCATTGCACATCTATAACATAAAACGAACCTACATACAGAATTTCAGCCTCCGAAAATATAGCGGTACGTAAAAACGGTAATGAAAAGTAATTTTCAGAAAAACGTTCCCTGCAAGTTGCCGTTGATGGATATCTCTCGAATTGTTCACCATCAACGCTGGTGTTCCCCAGGGATCCATATGGTCTTCAACCCTCTTTTTATTGTATATCAACGACTTATCTCCGAACCAGATATAATATCTCCGAACCAGATATAATAATGTCAGGTGAGATAATTTCGCTTTCTGCTCCGATAAGTTTGTTGGGGGTTAAAATGGACACCAATATGTCTTGGCATAATCATGTCGCTGGAATTGCAAAGACTGATTTTCAAATGATGCTTAATGATGGAATGATGCTTAATAAAGCTCAGATCAGACCTTCTTTGGAGTATTGTTCTCATGTATGGTTCTCTGCCCCCAAACATACCCTGAAGTTGCTAAATTCCATCCAGAAACTAGCCATCTACCTGATTGGAGACGCATCCATCACGTACAACCTTGACAGCCTGGAACATCGAAGAAAGGTTGGGGATTTGTCTTTTATCTATAGATACTTTCACGGGAAGTGTTCAAGTCACTTGGCACATTTGATTCCACCAAGAGCGGTACATATCAGAAATACGCGACGGACTCTGACTGCCCATCGTTTTGAGGTTCAACTCAGTACACCTCGAACTTCACTGTTTAAGAACTCATTCATGTAGAGAACTGCGTTCATGTGGAATAAACTTCCAAATAGATTTAATCTCCAGCGATTCAAATCCAATGTAAATCGCTAATTTTGCACAGGTACCGCTCTGAAAGCGCCTTAAGGATTTTCCTGTAGTGCTTGTGTTTTATTCTCAAAAAAAATTAAACGTGCCCCTTTTACCTCTACAGGGCATGCCCCAATTGGAATATTTGGAAATCCTCTCTTAGTGCGAATCTAAGACCTGATCTGAATCTAAGACGTATATACCAAATTTTAGCTTCCTAGGATTCACCAGTACGGAGAAACAGAGATGAATGAGTGAGTGTTAAGTGAGTGACTTTCGCATTCATACGTATAGATAGATTAACTTGATCGACGATATTGGATGATCTTATTCCAAAAATTGAAATGTGAAAGTTCAGCAATGTGATTTAAACGTGTTTTCAGATTTTTTTTCCATTATTATGAATATATTTAACTGTCACTGAGGTGAGCTGTAAGCGCTATTTGTAATTCACAAATTTCATTTGTGAATTTGAAACATTTGAAAGATTATTGAGCGAACAACTTTTTCTAGAAGCAAATTTTCCTCCTATCTCTAGAAGGAATATTGAATCAATGTCATTTCGAATAACCTACTTTTGTGAAGACACGATACTTTCAGTTTGTAGTACTTCTCCTAAGGTTCAGTTGTGAATGTTAATTCTGTTCATTGTGTTATGCAACGTTTGGGTAGGGTATCATGCAGAAAAGTGAGGAATTCACGATAATAAGACAATTGTTTATTGTCTGTTGCTATATAAAAAATTAAAGGAGGGGACATTAAAGAAATGCACTGCACAATTCAAATTGTGTTACAGTGAAAAATACAAATAAATTTAATTCACAAATAAATTGTACTTACTTGCTTCTAATATCCATATCGACAGATATATCGCCAGAAATAACCATCGACAGACCCCCGTCTGAAACAAAAAATTAAATTGTTATATTTCTAATATCAAGCATTGATATGATAATATGTAGTAGGTGAGTCTCTGACATAAAATAAATTTCACAAGAACCCTAGAAATGCAGAAAGAGATTGTACCTAAACCCCATTTTATAATCCGATGAATGCTTTCAACTTGACTGGAGAATTGTTGTCTCATAAGAAGTATTTCATTTGTTTCATCAGTTTCACTATTATCATCATCAATATCTGATTATAATTTTTTGTAGTTCCAAGATGGTATTTGTTATCAATGAACCTCTTGATTCCTCTTTCATACATAATTTTGGGACAGATATTTGTAAAGAAAAAGAAAATAGAATAAATTGCCAGTATTGCCACACATCATCGCTGTGAGTCTTCATTGTTTTAGAATTGTTTTGTTCTGAGTTGTACAAGTGAAACAATGACGGTCGATGAAAGTTCAACAATTTTGATGGTCATATCAATTAAATGTTAATTAGGTTAAAGTATAACTAATATCTTGATATTTTCCCACAATTGATTGAAATTCATGCGAACTGTATGAGAAATAATTGATAATTTTTTTAAGAGTACACAACTTTTTTCATTTTTTGGGGAAACATTCTCCTTTCACAATCTTAATATGAAATTGTAATGAGAGAATTTTATAAAATTGAAAAGAGTACGCTTGCCGCATCAAGCTTGTGTGTAAACATCAATAAGGGTGTTTACAATCTCATAATTGCAATTTGAGATAACTAGTTACTTAACTCTGAAAAAAAAAAACTTATTTTCATTTCAATACACAGCTGGACAAAAAAATGTATTATCTGTATGTGACAAAGGTGCATGTCTAGTTAATTCATTCGATCGATTCACAAATCTCACATGACTATCGACTTATTCGACCCAGTTGGAAATTACTGTACGATAGTAAAATTGCTCTCCAATTGCGATAAACTTCCCTAAAATGATAGTGGTTTCGAACAGGGAATATGGTGATATGTTTTCTATTTTTGTAGAAGTGTATCAAATTCTGAACGATGAATTCAGTTCATTATGTTTGCAAAAATGTTCGAGAAAGGTCAGTACCTCAGTATATCACATAATTTTCCATCCATGGATGGACGTTGACGTTAACTTCATGAATTTCAACACTGCGGAAGTAGATAAACACACCATACCTATTTGAAATTATTTTCAGCAACAAGCAGAAGAACCACATAAAATCAATTTTTCCCCACTTTTATCGATCTTGGCGAAATCAGTCGTTATCGTAGACTCAGCTGGCTCATTTTTTGCTGATTTTTGAGGATTTTCGGGAAAAAAACCTCAGTAATACATCTGTGAAATTAGGACATGAAGACCGTGAACACTTCATATCCTCTTCTCAAAATTGAAACACTTTGCAACTCTGGTGGAAACATGTTGAGGGCGGTGGAAGAACTTTCATTCTTTACACGAAAATATACAACTAGCAACTCTAGCAGAAAAATGAATACGGCGCGATGTACTGAATTTTCGGATACTTCAAGTTTATGGTTTTTCTACATGAACCAAAATACACCAATCAATTAGTGTTGAACCTAATATATAAAATAAGGTCGCAAAATTGTGTTGCTTCCACCATTTATAACTCAAGAACGACTGAAAGGTTTCCATGATTATCGTTTTTTGGGTTTGTCTCTAATCGAAAAAGCAGAATAACTATTGAAACATTCGAAATTAAGAAACAAAATTGGAATAAATGAATTGACAGTTATAATAGTGTGAGCAGAAGTATATGAGGTATATGAGTGACTGTTACGTCAAAATAGAAACAAAGTCAGCAATATCCATAACAGTGTTATTCCTTCCAGAAACATTTCATTGTGAGATTTTCACTAAATCCGCAACACGTGTTTCGCTATACAATAGCTTCTTCAGACGCGCCTACGCCTAAAGAACCTTTTTTAAGCGATTTACGTTATGGATTTTTATCGAGTATTGAACGATTCCATCACATATACAGTGTTATTTGCAATTCCGCCAACAAGAACACCGAATCTTTCACAACGAAGCCATAATGAAAGCAGACTACGGAATACGGCGTATCAACCCACTATGAAAGAAGAAGAAATCGCACGAGAAGGCCGCCGTATTGTCTGTTGTCAGATCTTCGTTTAACTATTCTCTCGAGCAACTATTCTACTGTTTGAAACTCAGTGTACTCTCTATAATCATTATTGAATTACTGTGAATAGTGGAAATTATCTTGTATGTAGTATGTATCCAGAAAACATTTGCTATTGTTTTTTGTAACAATTAACTTACATGTTTTTTGGCACAAAATCTACTGCTAATTTCGAAAATCTCTGAGCAACTCCGTCCGTGTTTGTATACCCTGACTTCTTGCTTCACAAACATTATACGAAACGGGTATAATGACTCAGGTAATAACTTAACGCAACATGTTATCAATTCTAAGGTGGTATGAAGTCCGGCCGGTAAGCTAGTTTAACATAAAAATAGGTTGTGATGATATTTTCACACACTTCAACAAGTGTTAAATAAGACAGGATGATCAAAATGGAAAAGTTTAAAATATACGAAATTTTCTATGTAGACTGTGAGAAAAACATATTGATGATATTAAGCGGATTATTTGAAACACTTTTCAAGAAGAAATGTTCACATAATTGATTTTATAGACCGGTCAAGTCTATAGTGTTGCTTGAGCATGCTTTGGAAAATGACTACGAAATGAATGAAAATAGATAGAAATTGTAAAACTGGTAAATACATGACAACATACTCCAGTTATCTGAAGTCCAGAAATCTCGAAATATCAAATGGGATCTATGAACAACAAAAACTGTCAATGGCTACTCTTTCACACAATAATTACAAGTTATGGTTATCAAAATATAAGTACGAATAAACAAAATATTGGTTTCAGTTATCTCTCGATGATACTAATTTGGTTAGCGATACCCGCGTCCAAAAAAAATGACGTAGAGAAAAATGTTTTCATCTGATTCTTCCTACACCTGTAATTAACTAACCATTGAATTCTGACTCCTCCCATATACCAAATTATTGAATTAAGTCTGTTATTGTTAGTGAAGTATGACAGATGCCATAAAAGTGACAAGCGCCAAAATTTCCGCTGCTAGAAGCAATTACTTCTTCTTCATTCTGTCTTATAATATAAAGGCTTGCCGATGGATAAAAAACAAAACACAACTATGAGAACGGACGCTTTTACAAAGAACAAAATCCTGGCTCACAGCCGTGATCGAATGGAGATTGTAGTACCAAAAATTTCGTCTACTGTCGAGGCGGACATCATATGTGGTATTTGTGTTGACTAGAAAAACGAAAGTAACATTTCGAAGTTTCAGCAACGACTGACACAAGTATTTGAGCAGGTCAGTCAGATCCAAACGGTTGATAACTCAAAAAAAATCTACTGATACTGAGATAAAATTAAAAATAACCATATGTGAACCACATGTGCGTTAAAATTCAAATTCGTACCCAGGCCATACATCTATTCACATTTGCATCATAATGGAAAATGATTACTCTCAAATTCATACAGTAGCGATTCATTAGTCATAATGATAGGAATTAAACATTGAATAATTGATTTTCATTATCAATTAACGAGAATGAAAGCTGTGTGTGAAATGCCACAATAGGAGGTTGCAAGTGAAACTTTTTGTTTTTGTTAAGATGTCAAATCTTCGCTTCTAAATAATTCAAACCATGATGATCATAATGATGTGCTTGATTGCATTCGATTGTGTTTGATGAACACAATAGATAATTTGTGAAAGATGTTTCTTTCAATCGTTTAGTGCACTATGGAAAATAAACAGTTTGTACTTTTCCCAATAACTGTAATAGTATCTGTTATTTTTTATTGGTTCTTGCTCTTTATATAATATTTTAATGTCGATAATAACTCTCTGAACACATTTCATCTATCAACCCTTTTTTCAGTGTGCGCTCGTTTTTCATCCCAGAGTTGTCTGAAGAACTTTGAATTGAAAGTCGGCTGTTGGTACCTCCCTGGTACCTTGTTCCCACATTTGTTTTGCAGACTTTTTTTCATGAATCACTCATACTTTAAACACAGGAACGATTCAGGCAATTTTCTATAACGTATTCAAGAAACACGTTATTATGAGATTTTCACTTAACAGTTTTACAAAAACGCAACACATGTTTCGCCTACAATAGTGTAACGAATCTGAAGCCGCCCCTGACCGATATGCCGGCCAGCGAACAAACACATGACACCACCGCGAAAGAATGCAGTCGGCAACCGCCGGTAAAAGTATAGTCGAGTATCGAACGGACTACAGATTTCTAGAAAGAACCGTTACATTATATAAGCCCGACTTCCCGACCCAACAGGGCAGTTCAGAAAGTGAATCGAGCGGTTAAACAAGAAATTCAAATAGTGGAAATAAATAAGGCGTTAATTGCTAAGTCTTGTAGAAGATAAATTATTTTGTGCTTATTGAAATATTGTTTGAGATGAATTTATTTAAGACAGTTAATTCATTAATTTGTCACAATAGGTTCTTCAGGCGTGTCCATACTAACTCACCGACTCCATCATTTTGTTTTCTATGTGCAATCGTTTATCGTTTATCAATTCTTTAACGTTAGTCTCTATTTTACTGCTCACTGCTGTCACTACCTCCTCCTGGTGTTCCTGTTGCGAAAATATTGATTATTACCCATTTCACTTTTATCAAAATTTTTAGTGAGTCAACTTGGCTTTTATTTCGTGTTTCAGTATTTGCTGCGTTGCCAATCTCTTGTCTACAAATAATTTTTAAGAAGTTTTTGAACAATTTCTTATTCACTTCTTCACCGCAAGTTATTGCAACTTGGCTCTTCCCCAGATAAATCACCACACCCCTAATTCATAAGACTCCCATGTAAGGTTTTGTGCCTGGTTACAGGTCCTGTTCTTTCTCGTTATCAAAAGGTGTCCTCTGTGGAACCATGCTT